CCACTGACACTACATTGACCCCACTGACCTCCAGAGGAAGGGCTGTCCCCACTGACATTATAGCGACATCCTCACTCACCTCTGGGAGGGAGGATTGTGTGCTGCGAGTCTGTCTGACGGCCTCCTCATAGCGGGGCGGATCTTTCGTCTTGGTGACTGGGCTACTGAACAGGGAGTGCTGGACAACAAACGGCTGAGGCGGCGGGGGTGAGCTGGGCTGTCAAACCAAGATGGAGCACATGTTAGCTCTTGGCAATAAACTTTCTCACATCCTGGTTAGACCCCGCTCCTCTGCAGCCAAGTCCTGCTCTTTACATGCAACTTTTAAACACGTGGGAGGCTAACCGCACTGGCTGACCATCGCACATGGGGCCAAGTTATTATCATGGCCTTTTTGGCATATGCACCCAAATGACAGTGCTGCTCCCTCACTTCAAGGCCACAGGCACCAGGCTGTGGGTGACCCTACACCCAGGTGAGTGCCGCCACTGCTGCGCCCTCGTCCCAGGACTACCTTGCTGGGCGTGTGGGGTCCGTTCTGCACTGGCGGAAGAGGTGGGTTTCTGGATTGCAGAAGGCTGCCGGGTGTCTTACTGATAAAAGGCTGTTGGGCTGCTGGCGCAGGCTGTCTCTGGTACGGGAGAACTGTAGCTGGTGCCGCGTTTGTGAAAACCTGAAACCAACAAACATTCCCCCATCATTCTGTTCTCCTCATGAAGTAGAGAAAACCTTCTATAAAGGTCCAGACAGTAAACCTTTTTGGCTTTGAGGGTCATGCGGTCTCTGTGGCAACTACTCAACCCTGTGGCTGTAGCGTGAAAGCAGCCACACAATTCGTGAATGAATACATGGCTGTGTTACAATAAAACTTTATTTACAAAAATAGGGAACGGGCTCCATCTGGGGAGAGCACATTGGGGAGAGCACAGACTTGCTCAGTGTGTCTCCCCTGAAATGAGAAGTGAGTTTCTCATGTTCTTCACCTGGGTGGTGCCATCTGCTAGCATGCTTTAGTTCTTTATCTTGTCATGCGTTAACTTTTACTTTCAGAATTAAAATATTTTATTGTGTTTTTGGTGGAAGTTTACACAGCAAATTAGGTTCCTGTTGAACAATTTCAACACAATTTGTCCATGGACACCAGTCACATTTTTCAGTGTGTCAGCTATCTCGTTATTTCCATCCTGGTTGTTCCATTTTCAGTAATCTTGGTTCCCCGCCCCTTCCCTTGCCTTCCTATCTCTGCATTTGAGAACGTTTGGTCTCACACAGAATTTTTTTTTTTTTTTTTACAGAGCCCAGCATCATGCTTTAATTTTCACGATTAAGCTAGTAACCGCCAACTCTGCCTCTCCAACCTACTTCTGACCTCACTGAAGCCACGTTTACAACACTTTCCCAGACATCTGAAATTTGTATATACTCCAAACTCAACTTTCCCCTTTCCTCCTGCCATCCTTGATGTCTGAGAGTCATCCTTGGTTCTCTTGCATTTTTTAACTTCAGTAAACAGACCCGTCACTCACACACCTTAGGCTGCTCTCTTGAGTCAGCCTGTTCTCCACTGTGACCCCCTCACCCAGGCCCCCATTTCCACAACCGGAATACAGCCCCAGCCCTCGTGTCTGGCTCCTTGCCTTCTACCCCACCACCAAAACTTTATTCTTACCAAATGAGCCTGATCAAGTTCTACTCATAGCAACCTGACAGGACAGAGTAGAACTGTCCCACATGGTTTCCAAGGCTGTAATCTTTACAAAAGCAGGCTGTTGCATCTTTCTCTCACAGAGTGGCTGGTGGGTTCAAACCGCTAATCTCTGGTTAGCAGCCAACTACTTTAACCACTGCACCACCAGGGCTGCTTAAAAACTCCACTGGCTCCCTTGTCCGTAAGATAAAATCCTGACTCTGGCTGGCATGTAAACCTTATTACCCAGCTCTTCCTTCATCCTCCCCTAAACCTCACATGTGCTGTGGTCAAACTACACACACACCATTTCCCAGAGCGTCCCAATATCCTTGCTAGGCTCCATCTAAATCCATCCCTTCTTAGCATCTGGTCCATGCAGAGGTGGGGAGTCTTCCTGTGGAAGCCCAAAATGTTTTCTGTAGGTCACATGGAGATCCAAATGTTTCAGGGCCTTTTACAAACACACAGCCAAACTGCTGATACTGCAACGCTATTCCACAGAACCCTCGATGTGCTCATTAAAATAGTTAACATGCTTTGTATCATCCATAAGGAGCCCAGCAGCACAGTGGTTAAGCACTCTGTCACTCACTGAAAGGTCGGTGGTTTGAACCCACCAGCAGCTCCACAAGAGGAAGATGAGGCAGTCAGCTCCCTTGAAGATCACAGCCTTGGAAACCCTACGGGGCAGTTCTACTCTGTCCACTAAAGGTCCTGTCAGTCAGAATTGACTGAACGGCAACAGGGTTGGGTTTTGGTTTCTGTACCATTAATAGAAGCTCTGGTGGCACAGTGCCTAAGGCATCTGACTGCTAACCAGAAGGCTGGGGTTCAAACCCACCACCTACTCCTTGGAAGGAAGACTGGGCAATCTACTTCCGTAGTGATACTGCCTCAGAAACCAAGGAGGGGTCGCTATCAGTCGGGTCCGACTCGATGGCACATAGCAACAACAACATTCTGAAAGAAAAAAAACCCTCCCCTGTATATTGTTATTATGAATATACATAAGTATTTCTTAAGTGAAAAAGTTATGTGTATGTGTGTACATCCCCCCAAATCTGGGTGATAAGTTCTACAAATTTACTCCCATTTCCTCATATTTCATAAAAAGAAAAAAATCACTTCCTTTAAACTGGAAGTAATGATTCCTAACCCTGGAATTCTGAGACTTTGTGAATAAGCCCCATCTATGTACTGCTTCTCTTTTTTAGCTCTAAAACAAAGAAAACTCTTATTTGCTGAGCTTATAACTACACTAAAATGGTTTTTTGAGCTTTCCCCAAAGTAAATAATCTCTCTCCCGTTGCATTTCTCAGAAAGCCCCAAAGACCACACTCCTTGGTGTGACTGCTGCTGACCCAAGAGACCGTTTCTGTCTGCTCCGAGCAGTTAAGCCCAACAGTTCCTACTGCCTTAAGGCCTCCAGACGGGTCACCTAATTACCCAGGTGTTTTTATGCTGCAGATGAAACTCTGGGGCAAACCACCCTCAAGGTTTAAAATACCCAGACCTACTTTTGAGGCCTTAAGATTTTTCTGACAAGGAGATATGCCCACAGCTCCACCTACTGGATATAAGGAAATTTCGGTAACTCTGTGGAAGACAGATGGGGTGGTCTGCTTCTGTGAAGATTTACAACCTTAGAAACCCAACAAGGGTTGTTATGAGTCGGAACCAACTTGATGGCAGTGAGTCTGGCTTGAGTTCAGGTCTATTTAACAGGAAACTGTAAAAAAGATGGAGTCACTCACTGGGTGGTGGTGACTATGAACGCTTTCGGCTGCACGGACGGCGCACCCACCAGCCACTGTGGGGGAGAAAGCTGTGGTGGTCTGCTTCCACACCGATCAGAGCCCACCAAAGGCACCTCAGAAGAAGGCCTAGTCATCGACTTCTGAGACACCAGCCACTAAGGCCCCTGTGGAGCCGGCTCTGCTCTGACACTCATGGGGCCGCCACGAGTTGGAATCACGTGACAGCAGCTGGTTTGCACAGAGGGTACATTGTTAGAGCAACGCCTTCATTAGAGATGAGCAAATGGACATGCAGAGGAAGTGAGTATTTCTAAAGGCCAAAGACCTAAGGGTGCAGTGAGCCAGGGTGACGGCCAGCTAAGATGGCAAACTCATCAACACACACCCACCCTTACCCGGGATGAAAGCTTCATCTTCAAGTCTTTTATCCCAGGAAGCCACAATTATTTTTCCCCCCGATTATTCATTTGGAATTTTTTTTTTTTTTAAACTCAGTAAATTCAATATATGAGGATGAAAGGAATACTTTTGACAACCTCCCTTCAGGAAGAGTTGGCTGTTAGGGTGAGCTGTCTTTTCATAAGAGCTCCTTTTCTACCCCAAAGAACTGGCTCATCTGCAGCCAGGGGGTACCGGTCCTAAGGCTCATGCTGTGGGGCGGCTGACTGTGGAGAACAGAAACAGGGTACCTCCACGGAGCGGCTCCGGGAAGCTGTACTTGTGGAGTGGGGCGGGGAGGACGGTGAGGGCAGCAGCAGTCTGCTGTCTGGTGGCTCACAGACCTTCCTGACTTGCTGAGGCTGGCTGAGCCCGTGCCGCGGGAATGTGTCCTGCTGCTGAGGGGCAGGCTGGGCCACGCCTGAGGACAGGGCCGTCGCTGGGATCTGGGCAGCAGTGGCCACTGGAGGCTGAGGCTGGATTCCTGCTTGTGCTGGAGTCTAGGAGGTGAATAGAAAGAAGCTTTTTAATTGTCAGAATCAAAACTAGAACCAAGGCATTAGATGTGGATAACTGGCCACCTGGGGACTGTCACTGCAAGAAGACGAGTGTCCACAGATGGCACCCAAGGCTGATACCCAAGTCCAGGATTCTGACCGGGAGATGGGTGCGTGTCATGAGAACACCTGGGAACAGACTGCTGATGGGGGCTCTAGACGAACTGACTCCAGCGCAGACACGGATCTGAATGCTAACAGCTGTGAACCAGAGAATCAAACACCAGACCAGTTATTCTCACGCTCTGGTCATTTCTTAAGTGGCTAAGATGCTCATTGAAAATTCTGTGAAAACAGAGCTGAAATAAAAAGGCCCTACAACAGCTCTAAGGAGCCCTGGTGTGCAGGGGGCTAAGTGTTCGACTGCTATCAAGAAGGTCAGCCGTCTGAGCCCACCAGCTGCTCTGTGGGAGAAAGACGGGCAGTCTGTCTCCATAAAGATGGCGGCCTTGCAAATCCCACAGGGGGTTGCTGTGAGTCAGAACGGACTTTACGGCAATGGGGGCAGCAGCTCTGCACACGTGGGTCAGGCTGTAAAACCTGAGACAGCAACAAGGATATTCACGAGGGCAAGGGGGCCAAGGGTCCAGAGGGCTGCTTTCTCCGTTGCACGCCGTGCACTCTTTGGAGAGAGCCCGTGTGCTGGAGACTCACAGTCCTGGAATAAAACATGCTTCCTGGTCTTAGAACATCCACTCTAATGGAAGATCTGGATCAGGAAAAAAAAAATTATTTATGTGTGTGTGTATACACATGTATATATAAATACATATACACACACATATGTATATATATTACGGAAGAGACTGTAAAATTCAGACACTTTCAAGCCCAACCAGGAGAATCAGACTTCTGTGCATGCATGGCTCTTTGGGCCATCCCTCCTAACTGCAGTGCTACAAGACTATCCCTCTCTGCTGTTAAGTTTGAGGAGTATTAGTCCAAAAGATATCCTGTTTACTTGTGGTCCACCACTGGTTGAAACCTACCCAAATCATCATCACGTGAAAATACTCAGGTAATGTTGGCATCAAAGGAAATTTTGTGCTCACCAGTGTTCTACAATCTCTCTCAATAACATCTTCAGTCCTAAATTCATAGTCACCTTTTTCTTAGTGTAGGGAGCTCTGGTGGCATAGTGCCTAAGGCATTTGACTGCTAATGAGAAAGCTGACGGTTCAAACCCACCAGCCGCTCCATGGAAGGAAGACGGGCAATCTTCTGTAAAGGTTTACCGCGTCGGAAACCCAGTGGGGGTCGCTGAGAGTCTGACTCAACTTGATGGCAGTGGGTTTTTTTTTTTTTGGTGTGGTGTAGGGGGTAATGCATTTGACTGTTCAAACCCACCAGCTGCTCCATGGGAAGAAGATGAGTCAATCTACTTCTGTAACGATTTACAGCTTTGGAAAACCAATGGAGGTTGCTATGAGTTGGGATCGACTCCATGGCAGTGGGTTTGGTTTTTCTGGTTTCCTTAATTTAGGAATCTTCACATTAAGCAGTGCTTTTCAAGAACTCAATCTGGGAGGCAGCTATGAGAACAGGTCTAAGAGTAGAAGCCCTGGACTTGGAAACCCTGGGTTTAAATGCTAGCTCTGTTCCATGCTAGCTGTGTCCAGAGACAAATGACTCACCCTTTCTAGGCCTGTTTCCTTATCTAGAGACGGGTCTATCCCTTGCATCTTCGGTGGGAAGGGAGGATGAAATGAAGTAAGCCCTTCAAGGACTCATTGCCAGGCCCCACACAGCAGAAGTGCATGACAGCAACAGCCATCATCATGATGATACCATCACTGGTACTGCAAGATCTACATGTATGACGGGCTGTGCACACTGGAAAGTACAGTGTAACTCCATCAACACAATGCTGGCTAGGCATGCTTTACAACACTCTTCCCTCCTCCCCACAAGCTTCCTCCAACTGTGAAACGCAGTTTGGAGGCACGTGTGAAAAGGCTCAGGCCCCACGGCTAGCAGTCTTCGTCTGCACCTGCTAGGAGGAGAGGCAGTTAGAGACACACTTCACACCTGGAGGCTGAGGCTGCCAACCGGGAGCTGCACGGAGGTGACGCTGGAGCCCTGGATGGACACCGGCAGCAGCAGCTGAGCAGTCTGGGCGGTCAGCAAAGCCGGGGGCTGAGCGACCACGGTGGGTGGCGGCTGTCCCTGGGAACCCACGTAAAACTGTGAGACGAGGTTCTGCTGCTCCGCTGGGGCCACGGGGGCCTCTTGCTTGATAACCACAGCCTTCGGGGCAACAAGGGTCTGGCCGCCCGTAGAGATGGGCTGGCCCACAGCATGGCTGGTGACCGGGATGGGCTGCCTGGAGCCAGAGCAGTCAGGGAGGGAGGCCTCGTCTTTGACGGCAGAACTCACGCTGCCGTGTTTGCCAGCAGGGTTGACTGGCGCACTGGGCTGGGCTTCCGGTGGCCGCTGTGGCTGCTGCTGGCTTCGCTTTCCCACCTCCAGCTGCATCTTCAGCACTTCTACGAGCTTCTGCTCTTGTTCCAGTTTCCTCTTGAGCTCCTCGATCTGCTTCTCTTTCTCCTGAAGCTTGCGGTCCTTCTCAGCGGCGTCTAGTTCCAGGCTGGACAGAGTGCTGCTGGCAGGACTTAAGCTGTCCTCAGGGTTCGTCACTCGCAAAGGAGATGAGCACAAGAACTGGGACGGAGACATCATGGTCATGATCTCGGTGAACGTGTCTGCCACGCTCGGGTCGTCAGTGCTGAGACTGGACTGCTCCGAGGGGGACGGTGAGATGGGCAGAGGGGAGCTAGCACTCTCCACGTGGGCGGCGTTGCTGCTTCCGGCAGAGGGCAACTCTGCCTTGAGTGTGGAGACCGAGCTCGTCACAGAGTTATGGAGAGTCGTAACCGGCAAGGCCACGGTGACCTCTGGGTTACTGGTGATGACGGCGGGGGTGGATACTGCCACCATACTGCCAGCAGCAACACCGCTGTTCATTTCCTGGTAGGGTTTCAGGCGTTCGATGAGGTCGGGTTTGGTGCCCGACACCGGCAGACCCCTTAGCTTCAGCTCGGTCTTCAGTTCCGATACCTGGAATAACACACACAGGTCAGAGCTCTGCTTTGGGTTTCACAACGTTCCTGACCAATCACATAATTGCTGGTGATGGAAAAAGCGCCCATGTCTGTCAGCTGGCTCTGTATCGCTGCATACCTGAAAGTGGGGCAGTCATTCTCCTTTTACTTTTTAAACCCACACATGACTATGTACCTGAAGAACTGGACAGGCCAGTGAGAAAGTATGGGTTTTTAGAGGTTAATTCCTCTTTTATGTCAAAGAAAAAATTCACCAGCTGGGATAGCAATGATGGTAACAGCTAGGTCTACTGAATAGCTGCCACACGCTCTGCATGGACTCCCTCACTCTTCACGATGGCCCCCCTCACTCTTCACGATGGCCCGTGAGGGGGCTTTTCTTATTATCGTCCCTATTTTACAGATACACCCACTGAAGCAGAGAGAGGTTGAATCACTTGTCCAAGACAGCACAGAGAAGGCTGAGCTAGGATCAAAACCCAGGAAGGCTGGCCCTGGAGCTTAGGTGGTTGACTTTGTTTCTCCCCAGGTGGCACTGAACAGATTAACAAAAACAAAAACAAAACCCCTCACAGTCTCTGGAGTCAAAGAGAACTGGCACGGTGCCTGGCGCACAGTACCTAGGCAGTATTGACTGCTTTAAGACAAACTTAATGGAAGTGAAAGGAACGCAGGTCATAGAGGATACCTTAACTTTGGTAAAGATGAGTGTTTGCTGAAAATTACCTGCACCGAGACAAAGCTGGAACATTATTTACATACTTTTGTGGTAATCATTGGTAAGTAAGCTCGACTTGGAATGATCACCTTCAAGTCATCCAAGCTGGAAGGCAGAGGCCCCGGCTTCCTCACAGGGACAGATGTGCTCGGTCTTGGTGTGCTGGGCGTATTACTGGTCAAAGCTGAATTCCCACTGTTGTTATTTTTGTCATTGAGAGGCCTTTAAAAGAAAAAGAAAATTAGAGTTTCTAATAAAACACTGTCTGGATTTGCCACTGCCTGCTGTTACCAATTGACTGCTGATTTATGAAGAGAAAAATGCCATGGCTGGGGTCTGGAAGACTCCCGTGTGGTAGAGATGCCATTAAATTAGATCTCACTAAAAATTTGCTGCTTGCTTGTTTGCTGGAAATGCAGAAAGTCATTCCAAGCTCTGTACGGAAATGTAAATGACCACCAGTGGCCACCAACATTCTTGAAGAAGAAATCGAAAGCTGAAAGTCACCCTACTAGATACTAAAATGCATTACAAAGCCAGTCATTAAGACAGTGTGGTGCTGATGCAGACAAATGGAAGAGAAGTGAGAACCCAGAAACAGAACCCCCTCACCCCCTGTATATGCACGCCCTTGAGTTATGAAGATAACACTGCAATGCAACTGAGAAAGGATGGTCCTTCCAAGGAGTGGTGCTGGGCCAACTGGATATCCCCCAGGGAATAAATGGCTCTTGCTTGATCCCTATCTCACATCATTCCAGAGCAATCTAAATATGAATTATAAAGCAATAAAGCTTTCAGAAGAAAATATAGCCCTTGGACAGGCAGAGATTTCTTAAACAGGACACAAAAAAGCACTAACTAAAAGGGACTCTTTTAAGACAGTGAAAGTCACATAGAAGATGCGTGTAATATGTATTTCCCATAAAGGCTCATATGTAGAACATACAAAGAACTCTTGCAAATCAGTAAAAAGAAAAAGAAGAAAATTCAATGGAGAAATGGGGGAGGGGAAAGTCTTGAACAGGTCGGTCTATCACAAGTCACTAACTCTGTGAACAGGTACCTGACCAACCTCATCAGGTGTGAGACAAATGAGAATTAAAATCATAATGAAATAGCCCATATCCTCAGCAGGATTGCTGTAATTACGAATAAGGTCAACAACAGCAAGTACCTGGAGCAACCAGAATTCCCACGTGCTGCTGGTGGGCGTGAACTGGTACCCCTCCTCTGGAAAATGGTCTCACAGTTTTAGCTAAACTTTAGATAGGATACAAATAAACATATACCTATTCTAAGACCCGGCAATTCCACACCTAGCACTCAAAAGAAAGACAAACACATGTGATCCAACACACACAGATCAGAATATTCGCTATAAAGCAAAATTCTTGAGAACTTCAAGTGGAAGCAGCCCTGCTTTCTATCAGGCGTCTGGTGGGTGGAGAAGTTATGTACAGTCATATAATAGAGTACTAAGCAGGAGCTCTGGTAGCGTAATGCCTAAGGCACTTGACTGCTAACCAGAAGGCTGGTGGTTCAAACCCACCAGCCACTCCTCGGGAGGAAGATGGGGCAATCTACTTCCATAGTGATACCGCCTCAGAAACCCAAGGAGGGGTCGCTATGAGTTGGGTCTGACTTGACGGCACATAAGAACAACAACAAGCAGCAACACAAAATTCATTAGCTCCTGCTATTTGCAACAGTAAAGTTGCATCTCACAAACAGTGAGGAACAGAAGCAGCTACAATGCACAGTGTTGTAAGGTTCCATTTGTAGGAAGCTGACCAACAGGTAAAAGAGATCTACGGGCACGGAAGCCAGAAGAGTCACTGAGAGGGGACACAGGGTCTACTGGGGTACTGTTAATGTTCCCTTTCTTCATTTAGGTGCTGGTTACAGGGCTGCATTTACTTTGGAATCAGTTTCCACTTATGAAGTATATACTTGGCTGTTTCTAAGTTATATGCCAATATTAAAAAGTTATTTATTTATTTAAAGGATGGTGAATCAGTTGCCAAGGGTTACAGTTAGGTGCTTTGTGCTGATCTCTTTAACCCCTTCCAAGTCCAAGCCAAGCCTCTCCCTAACCTCTTCCAACTCTTGGCATCAATGGAGTTTCCTTTTCTGGATGGTCACTGTCTTGTCAAGAAAGGCAGACCCGATGGTCAATTCTCCATAGCCATCCACTGGGGTTTGGGGCTTTCTTTTCATTACAAAGCCTCGGTGCTGAAACCAGACTCGGAATGCCACATTCGGAAACAGGGATCTGGAATGACACTGTATGGGGTGACAGCCATGGGATGAGCTTTCTCAAATGAGCTGTAGAAGCCTACGGCTGAAGCCAACTCAGGCCCCTGGCATTCACGTTGGGGGCTTTAAAAATTTGCCTCAATTTTGTTGAAGTTAAATACTTGAAATATGTATAATGAAGTTTCTTGACATTTGGATGAAATTATGGATATGTAATGTACCATTATTCCCTTACAAAGTCAACTTATTTACTTGTCCCCAGCCCTAACCCAGTCTCCTCCCCTCCCCGCCCCTCAGAGGTAGGCCCTCCTGTGCGTCTTCCGTGCGAATGTTGCCCCTCTGGTGCCTTGTGGTCAATTGCTCCAAGGGATGCATTTCCATGGAGTAAACTGAAGTCATGTTAGAATTATGAAAACATTATTGAAGTCAGTTTCTTAGCATGATCTTCATTACCATCCTCCCAAGGAGACTTTTAGACATTTTTTCCCTGGTCACTTTCCCCATGAAATTTTAATCCCACAGACTGACTGTACATGTATCTGTCCATGTATTGTATGTGTGTCTGTGCTTGATGCATGAAACAAGACCATTTCATTCCCCCAGAATCAACCTTTGTGCCCCCTTGTAGTAATATCACCCGTGTTGGGAATTTATGATTTAATTTAATTACCTATACCTGCTGTCTTTTTGGTCAAGAATTTACAATACTGTACCTGTTCCCAAGATTAACAGTTCAGTATTAAATTTAGCTTAGAAAATAATAAATGTGAGTTAATCTATTTTCCCCATAACTAACAAGAACAACAACAAAAGGGGGGGGAGCCTGGAGAATGTGATCCCTAGATGGATAAGGAACTTGAGGTTCAGAGGGTGGGCCTGTGTGCTGCGACGAGGACTACAGCCCGGTCTCCTCTGGTCCTTGCTCTTTCCACAGCCCCAAACCAAATACTAAACCTGTGGCTGTGGAGTCAACTCCAACTCATAGTGACCCTCCAGGACAGAGCAGGACTGCCCTATAGTGTTTCTAAGGTTGTAATGTTTACGGAAGCAGACCACCACATCTTTCTCCTGCTGGTGGGTTTGAACTTCCGACTTTTTGGTTTGTAGCTGAGCTCTTTTTAGTCACTGTGCCACCAGGGCTCCCAAGGGCACATTCTACAGGTAAAATCCCACTACTGTGAGCTCTACGGGACTTCCAAGTACAGTTTCTTGTGATAGAGTTTCAGTAAAAGTAAACAATGCGTTAGAGAACAACATCTCCGTTTTTGGGACCTGAAAATTAAACAGAACTTAGGTTCTGTTTCTGTGGTAAAGTCAAACACAAAACCAAGTGTTTTCTCTCATCCTCTTGGTCCGGATCTGTATGGAGGATGTCTTGCTGGGTGAGTGGTTTGGCTGCTGTAGTGATGGGGTTTTCTGAGGAAGTTAGGGGAGGTGAAGACTTACCAGAAGGACAAAGGATATGGAAGGGGAAGGTAAGGCGTTCAGCTGCCTCCCACCACATGCATCCTTCCCATCAGCCCCAACAGCCTGACTCTTCATTATAGGACACTCTTGGACACCACACACGCACACACAAACACATACCCATGCATGCACACACAAACCCTTTTATGGGACTTTCAGTTTAACAGTTTCTTCATCTATAAAAATGAAAACCAAACCTATTGCTGCCAAGTCAGTTCTGACTCACAGCGACCCTAGGACAAAGGAGGACTGGCCCATAAGGTTTCCAAGGCTGTAAGCTCTACAGAAGCAGACTGCCACTCCTCCTCCCAAGGAGTAGGGGGTGTGTCTACACGGCCTTCCTTTTGGTTAGCACTAAGTGCTTAACCACTGTGCCACCAGGGCTCCTTCCTCACCCAGGAGATGGCATCAGCAGCTCCTCCCAGAGTTACCATGAGGATGGTGATGTAACGTGCCAGGCAATGTGCCTGCCTGCTACCTCTGAAGCAGTAAATAAGCAGTGGTACTGTTACTGTTGCCACTGTTATGACTGGTGCCCAGTCCAAAGGAAAGGAGTTCTGGTGATGTTGTGGGTAAGACATGTGGCTGCAAACCAGAAAGTCAGCAGGTTCAAAACCACCAGCTGCTTGTGGGAGGAAGACAAGGCAATGCACTTCTGTAAAGATTTACAGCCTTGGAAACCCAACGGGGGTTGCTATGAGTTGGAATAGGCTTGTTGGCAGTGGGTAGGAAGGGCCAAAGGAGTGGTAGCAGGGAAGACTCCTTCCCAGGACCTGGATGGGCCCGCAGAGCAGCGGCAGTGGCCTCTGACACGCTCCCAATCTCTCTGGCCATCCCTGGGTCCCTTCCAATGTTCACAGTGCACCAGACCTACTTGCCCTTAAAATGGTAACATGTTTTAAAATTATTCCTTTGTCTGTATGCCCTAACGTTTTAGATTTAAGTACTTCACACTAAGGTCTGAATCGCTAATAGCCTTAATCTTTCTCCAGCTATCAGAATCATAAATGAAGAAAATGAATTGATAATCATTAGCATATGAGTGGCGCCCTGGTGGTGCAGTGCTTAAAGCATTCAGCTGCCAACCAAAAGGTTGGTGGTTCAAACCCACCAGCCACTCCCCTGAGAGAAAGCTGTGGCTTCTGTAAAGATTTACAGCCTCGGAAACCCCAAGGGGCAATTCTACCCTGTTCTATAGGGTGGCTATAGGTTGATTTGATGGCAGTAGGGCTGGAGCATGTGAGGTTTTTTTTTAAAAAAAGAGAAGGTTTTTAGCAGGTTTTTACCTTCATCAGAATCCTGCGTCATGCCAACGATGAACACAACCGGCTGCTCACCAGGAGGCTGGTGGGTTGAGTCCAGCCACAGGGACCCTGGAATGGCCTGGGGATCTACTTCCCCCCCATCAGCCACTGAAAACCCTCTGCAGCACAGCTCTGCTGATGCACACGGGTCGCCATGGGTCGGCTGACTCGAAGGCAGCCGGCTCTCACCGGTTCACCCTCCCCAGCTCTCCCACTCCCAGAGGACAGGAGCTGCCTACAGGCGCCAAGGCCCAGCCCACATTCAGAAAATGGAGGAGAGCTTCGACAGATGACGTGATTGTCAATTAAATGGCTCCGCCCTGTAACGGGATTCTGCTTCCATTACCCTTTCCAGAGTTGGAGCCAATGCCACGTTGAAGACCAGGCTGCGCACTGTTACTGCGGCTTCTGGAGATGCTTGCCTAGGACATCCTTTACTACGTGACTGAAATCCACAATGGAAGCCTTGCTATGAACTCAGTCTCAGAAACCGTCACAACCCACTCTCTTCTGCCTTCCCCAGCTGTCTGGACAGTTTGTCGCTCACCATCCTCCTGGTGGCTGGTGGCCAAACTTTGGAAGCATTTTCTTTCTCCATGGTTCTTAGGCACTGGGACCTCTAGTCTTTGGAATCATCAATCATCCAGTCCTCCTTTTCCATGAGCAGCAGTCTTTCATCACCTCCCATGCAATGTTCTGCAACATTTCTAGCCACGTTTCCTGTTTCCCAACTCCCTCCATACCAAGGCCCAGCTCTTCTTCCTCGCCATGTCACAACCACAGCTCTCTGCCTACCACATCAAGATCAAACTCGCCTGCCGACTTCAAGTTCCTCCAGCCAGCAGCTCTAGTCAGCATGGCTTTCCTTTACCATATTCTTTATTCAGCCTCCTCCTTACCACCCAGCATCTGGACCTGGGCTCATATCAAGCCCCTTTTCTTGGAAGGCCACTCCCCAGCCCTTCCATATGTACAAATTCTGCCTCCTTCTCCTTCTCTTTTTAAAGTTCTGACCCTTGCTAGGATCCAAGGTCAGAGAGTCACAGCGTTGTGTACTGTGAGTCGATTCTGACTCACGTGCCCCTAGAGGACAGAGTAGAACTGCCCCCAAAGAGTTTCCTAGGCTGTCATCTTTATAGGGGTCTTTTCTTGTTTTGCAGAGCTGTTGGTAGGGTCAAACCACTGACCTTTTTGGATAGCAGCTGCTAAAGGGGCAGAGAGAGGGCATCTTCTGACCTCCTGTAACTCCACAAGAGGAAGACAGAATCACCATCAGCAGCCCGAAGACTGTTCTTTTGAGGCCAGACATGCCGCCACCCTCCAGCCCTCTCACTAACCTTGACACCAACCATCCCTCCCACGGCACCCACCACCTCTTTGCTGGGTTCGATAATTTGCTGCAGTGGCCACACAGAACTCACAGATTATGGGGTTTATTAGGGAAGCAACAGGCTATAACTCAAGTTCAGGAACGTGCTTGGTCTCTCTCAGCCGGCATCTCTCTCAGTAGCGTCTCTCAGCAGCATATCTCTCTCAGCCAGCAGTCAGAGAGATCCCGCTCTGCTTCTAGGAGGGCTCATTTTAAGTCTGGCAGAGTGGCAAAACTAACCAATCCCAACAACAGAATTCTACACACCTGATAGAGTGAACTTCCCAGAAGATTACTTCCTGCTGCTTCAACAGAAATATCCCAGGTGGGTAACTTTAGTAATCAGGCATTCAGCTGCTCATGGCAAAGTGGGAGTTACAAAGACTATGGCTGGAAAAGCCATACCATGTAATTTACCACACTGCAGTAGCCAAGTGCTTAACCACTGCATCACCAGGGCGCCCTCAAATTCTGCCTTTTTCACAAAGCTTTTGTTGATCTGTCCAGCTTTTATGCCCCTTTGTCTTTCCTTTTTACCTCATTTATACCAAGTTTTTATAACTTTGTTTCTCTGACAGCAGCTAGTACTGATTTGAGCATGTAACAGACATATCTTTTCTGGGTGTGAAACTGCAAAAAGGCATTTCTCACTTGGGAAGTTCATGACCTGTTCTGGAGGACAGAAACCGGACTGGGATGTGGGCCATTTTCACTATGCTGACTTCAGGCACTGCAGGATAAGCTTTGGTGACAATAGCATGAAAAGGATTGCTGACTGCAAACACATTACAACATCCGCCCGTTAGGAACATGTATCTCCTCCTGAGTGTCACCTGGGAAGCCCGCACTGACCCTGGGCCATCCTCCTGAGTGTCACAGTTCCATTTACCTGGGAAGCCTGAACTGACCCCGGCATGTACTTGAGCAGACTATCCTCCTGAATGGCATAGTCCTATCCACCTGGGAAGCTGGTACTGACCCTGACCCATAATTGAGTGGCCCATCCTCCTGAGTGTCAGCCCCATCCACCTGGGAAGCCTGCGTGGACCCCAGCCTGTACTTGAGTGGTCCTTCCC